CCATAGAAGAGTTCTCGAAATCCAATTCAACAGTGCGTTCTTTCTCCTTAGGAAGACATTTTTTCTAAATATCTTTCTTTTTGGCCAAGTCGACTAAAAGCTGGTCAAGTAAGGTAGACACCTCAGCCACAAATTTCAGGACCAAAGAAGAAGCAGCTTGAACGTCAACTTTCTTCAACATCTCTTTAATCTTGGCACCATCAGAAGGGTATGCCTCCAAATGGGTGATTAAATGGAAGAGCATGGTCTTGAGACGATTAAGAACTTCTTCTTGAGTCCTAAGAGAAGAGACACCTCCAAATGTAGTAGAAGTGCTGGAGCCTCCATCAGTCGAACGGTTCCTAGCATTCACCAAAAATTTCAAGTACTCAAAGGGGTTGTTTTACCTTAGAGCAGCAACTTGCTGGGGCAAAATGGTGGTGGTTTCAGGAATCACGTTGGGAGGAGGCGAAATGGTGCCAAAAGAGGCAGTTTCCTGAGGAGTTACTTCTTTTGTTTGGGAAGGATTTTGATTGGTAGTTATGGTGACATCAATAGCAACAACATGTTCAGGACCCTTTAGGCCATCATCTCCTGTATCCTCCCCTAGACTTTCATTATTGTCGTCATCCTCCAATCCTTCACTGATGGGAGAATATTTAGAAGTATCCTGAGTGACAGGAGTTGAGGTGCTCCAAGAAGGCTCACTATCATTCAAGACCATGATTGGTTTATTTTTGGTCTTGGAAGATTTCAAGATAATCTTGGGGGGACATTTATTAGGTTTAACTGCTAGTCGCTGAAACAATAAAAGCAAGTAAGAACATAATCATAAAAGGGAAAAAATCCCTAAGATAAAGAGTCATTGGAAGAAGAAGGTACCTGATGGTCCCCTTCAGGATTAGAGTCAATGCTCTCTGGTCGAGTTGGTGCAGGCTGCAAAACTCGTTCTTTTGCCACCACCAGAGTAGGCGCAGTGGTATAAGTGGTTTTTTTAGGCAACCTTAGAGCAAGTCGACTGAGATGTTTTTAGATTTTTTGGGAATGGCAGGTGAAGACACGTCGTCAGCTCGTTTATCTTTACTAGAGGGGTGTTTCTGTCTCCTTAGGAATGGTCTAGGAAGGACGACGACATTGGCTTCAGGGGCCTACGAATGGGTTAGCACAATCAGTGTATTAGAAAAGGAACGCAATCAGTTAGTAAATAATCAAGTTAGTAGATTACCTGAGAAGAAGTTCCAAGGGCTTCATTAGCAGAGGGAGAAACAATCGCACCACTAGTGGATCCCCTAGTCCGCTTCTTGTGTTCAACAGCTCGATAAGGTGGTAACAGTAAGACAAAGCAGTAAAAGCCAAAAGCATAAAAATGAACAAGAGGTCAATCGACAGTTTAGACGTACCTTTTTTGAACTTTTGCTGCATATCGTTAAAGTCATGGGTCAGTCGAGCCTTGAAAGATTTGATAGTCCCATTACTTTGCATGAATTACATAATCCACCAATCATAGAACTCCTTGGTAGTATAGAACAGGGGTTCGAAGGCAACACGAGTCATAATGGGGATATCAGCAACACAATGTTGAAGATGTTGAGCACATTCATCCTCACTATAGCTAGTCGATCAGAGACACATTTCATCTGATGGCTTATAAAAGCTAGGAGGCAAAGGTTGGCACAAGTCAAACTACCTAGCCACCAGATTAGGATGATAACACAGGAGTTTTACGCCATTATTAGCTCCTACTCTGGATGCTATGACGCTAGGAGTTAAAAAATCTTGTCAGATGACTTTGGATTCAGGGATTTGCGTAGGATCGACGGGAGGAAATGGTCGAGTAAACCACTCAGGACCATGTTGTCTGGAAGCAAAGGGAGCCATGTTTGGCTGAAAAGAAGTGCACCTAAAGAAAAATTTTAGGTATTTTTCAAGCGAATCCTCTCGAGTCATGTCATTGTTGGAAGGTGTCATCGCAGCAAGACAGAGGCTTTCGTTGGCATGCTGGGCAAATGCAGTCTCTTGTGCTTCAGAAAGTCGCAGTTTGAGCTGGCTCACAAAAATGGTGTTTAACCATAATTGAAGCAGCCAAACAGGTCCAGCAAGCAGATAGCTAGAAGTAGGAGAGAGTGGGGTCATATGGTTGTCCCCCATGCTAAGTGATTCATAAAACGACCCCAAAATAAGTTCTCTCATGCATATGTCTCGACCCAGAAGAAGGTGGTGAGCTAATGAAATAAATCGTTTAGCTACCTTCAAAGATCGACTATAGAAGGCATAGTTGGAAAGCCACAAGGCCAAGAAGGGAATGTGCTCTCCGTCAGACACAATTTCGACATCTTTAGCATGGAAACGCTCTATATATTTGGTGAAGCCAACAATTTCCTTCTTAAAAGGGATGACATTTTCATCGACTTCAGTAGGAAGGAAGACTTCACCTGTAGGGCGGAGACCAGTGATGGCCGTAATGTCAACCAAGGTAGGAGTAAGCATACCGGTCACAAAATGGAAGGTGTTTGTGGAGCCTACTCAGAAGTAAAGTGTAGAAATCAGCATGTAACGACAATAGTTGGGGCTAACCCTAGAGAGCTGAATCAAGTCAAAGATGCCTTGGACCTTCCAAACATCACCTTTAACTTTCTCTATTTCATTCAACCATGCAATGTAATCTTGGTTAACAGCAGGAGCATAACGAAAAACTTTAGATGTCTGATAAATGTGTGAAAATCTATGGGGCAATCTCTGTTGATAGGAGGTTTCATAGTTTTGTGAGTGGGGAAGCAGCTTTCCGATTATCTGGGTGTTCTTATCTCATCAGAAATAGGTCCTAATAGAGCGTAAACAATTTTGTTGTAGATGAAGGGGAGCAATAATTAGGAATGAAATGTTTGGAGATTTCGTGTCGGTGTTGGTTCCAAATCGAAGGTATTTTGATCATAAACAAAGAACTCACTCATATTAGAAACCAATTCAATTTCCAGAGGAGTTGGAATATGTTCAGAGAGTTGGCTTGAAATGGCCATGGAGACGGTTGAAAGTTTTTTTGGATAAAAATGAAAGTAAGAACTTCTTAACGGAGAGCCTGAGTATGCAAAAAGAACATAAAAAAGAAGTTGAAGAGATGAAATAGGTATTTATACTTTATCAAGAAAACCAAACGTTTGGGAAGAAAGTGGAAAAAATATGGCTACACAATCAGGCACGTGTCAGGCAGGTGGCGATTGATTGGAGAAGTTGGTGAGTTAAGGGCCACGTTTATCCTAGGAAGTTGAAGCTAAAATGTAGGGAAATGGTTGTGTGATCACAGACGTAACATTTGAGGGAAAAGATCATGATTACCATGACGTCACTTCGCACTAAGAGAAGAGGATTAAAATGTTTGTTTCTGTTCTTTCAGTCAAAAAGGGTATTTTAAGGGGAAATTTGTTGGCTAGGATTTTTGACACATATTAAAATCCAATCAAAATCCAAAAAGGTGCTCTGAGAACTTTGAATTATGAGAAATCTATCACAGAAGCAGTCGATCGGGAGAGATTTCATAATTAGTCAATTGGGCTTGTGGACGCAATTGACCAAAAAGAGGCCTCATGAGGAATGAATTGAGCCCAAGAATGTTAAAAAATCCAAAGAGTGCATAACTAGCAAAACAAAGTGTTATGAATGGAGAACATGAGTTTGATAGTAGGAATGAAGAACGTGGGATCATGGAGAGAAGTTACCAGAGACACGTGGCGTACAAGGAAGCGAAGCCCGCCAGAAAGTAGTTAATTTTCATGTATTATAAATAAGGCACTTAGTACATAGTATAAAATGGTTCAAACTTTCACATTCCTATACGCTAGTCACTCAGAGTACCCAAGCAAACGAGCGAAATGAGTTAAGCTAGGACAATGTACGTTTGAATCAACACATTTTCAACTGTTTCGATGTTATATCATTTATATTTACAGTTTAAAATGTCTTTTGTTTTATTTTACAAGTCTTGCTTTATTGTTTATAAACTCGTTTGACACTAGTTGAACGATTTTTTTTAACATACTTTATGAAAACACTCAAAAACTGAAGTACAATACTGAGATTCCTTGATCGATCTGACCAATAAATTTTTTGTTAAGAGACTAGCATTGTTTATCAAAATCAGAAATTTTACTTTTTATTAAGAGAACAACGTTATTTACCAAAATGAGAAATAAAGACAAACAAATACATAATGGAAAAGAAAAAACTTATCGAAGAAGCTGCTTGTTTAATAAGAATCTAATTTCTTACATTTTGAATTATTTTTTATATCAAAATTGGTCATTCAATTTTCACTTTCGGTTGGCTATATAACATATCATTCAAAACAAAACTCAGAGCAATTGTTAGCGACTTTCAACTCTCTTTCTCTAAGCACTCACAACATAACTCAATTCAGGTAACAGGTTAATTAATTAATCAGCTAATTAACAAATCAATTACTTTATTAATGTTCTTTCTTCTCTCTTCAGTTCAATTCCACCATTCTTGCATTTCGTTCATTTTGTGCGAATCAATGGGTTTGTTAAAATTCCATACTCGTTTTCTTTGATACTCAATCAATCTATGATTCTTGCAATTCGCATTTACCGTGAAAACGCATTTCGCTTTCGCTTTTTCGTTAATCCACTTCTGTTTAGATTCTGATTATCGTTTGATTGAAAATTTGAAATGCGTTTCGTTCTTGGTTTTCGGTTTTGAACAGTCTCGTGCTTAACGGTTTAGTTTTCTGATTTTGTGATTTAGATAATCCGTTTTTCTTTAGGCTTTGTTTGGGAGGTTTTAGGGAGAGAAAATTTTCACTTACTTTAGAAAGTGCTTTTATAGGGAATGAGAAAATTGATTTTGAGAGTATTATAACAACATTGTGTAGAGGTAATAGTACTAAGGAAAATAAACCCTATTTCAAGTTGGGGAACAAACCCTTATTGCATATAATTTTGAAAAATTGATTGATTCTTCTTTTTAACTTTATCAGTTGATTTGGCCGTGGTTCGAGCGTAATTATGATGGAAGTTGCTGGTCAGAACAGTGTCGTATATGATGAAGACGAGGCGTTAAAACGCTTGTATGAAGTCTTTGGAGCTTCATGTACTCTTGACAATATAGCTTATGCATATTGCAAGGCGAATCGGAATATAGATTTGGCAGGGGAAATCTTGTATGATATGAAGGGGAGCTCCTCGACCTCTGGGAATCACTCGTCGAACTCGGATGCGAAAGTGGAGGAGTCTTCGGAGTCATCTGATGGGCATTCCTTTGAGAATTCCTTCAATGGAAGGAAAAGCTTCAAGCCGAAAGCTCGCCCTGTTTCAGCGGGCACTGTTTCGAGTGTTATTGGTAAAAGTTATGTTAGACCCAAGCCATCTTTTAATGGGTCTAATGGTATGACTAAACCACCTAAGTTGGATGCAAGGACGATGCCAGTGACTGGAATCTGGCGTGAGAAGAGCGCGCCAAAGGCTGATTCGTCAAAGCGCGGTCAGCTTCAAGAGGACATGGAGGATTTTTTGTTTAAAATGCTTGGAGATGGTTTTAAGCTGGAAAGAAATGTCATACGCGAAGTTCTAGGTACAGGATACTCTTGCTTTATGCTGTTGTTTTTAATATCGTAACACTTTCGATTATTAATTAACTATGATATGCCTTGAAAGTAAAATCGTATGTGGGTTGCTCTAATGTGAGTGTCGATTGCTCTCTACTTGCACTTAACTAAACCAATTTAATATTCGCTTTTATATTAAGCGCCATTATTTCATGGTGGAAATGAATTTGGTTTTTCTTTGCATTAATCCACTCTTGTTATCAAATAGATGATTCAATCTACCGAAAACTAATGTCTCATGACTGAGTCGGAGACAAGTGACTCATTAGCTGAACTGTATCATTGTGACATTATATCTTTAGTTTGTATTAACAGCTGCCTGATTTTATTGCAAACATGCAGATACTTGCGGGTATGACATGAAAAAGGTACACAAACATGTTACTCTTTCACCGATGATGTTTCTTACTTTATTTTCCTCTAGTCCGGTGCTCATAACACAACCTACAAGTTTTCATTTTTTCATATGTAAAATTTCATTTAGGGTTTAATCAATGTAAGTTTTAGAGGATATCATCTTTCACTTATTTATTTTTTCTGCTTTATCCTAGACATACCTCAATTTTTCTAATTTTCTTCTTAGTTTGACATATACATTATTTAATTTGTTGACATTCCAAGTTACAATTTCTAATGACATTCTAACTTGCATGGCATCATTCTGGTGCTTTGAAAATATCTTTACTTAATTAATATATAAATTGAAATCATTCAGAGCTTGGATAACCTGCTAGATCGATCGGCGATGGCTTTGGACAAAAGGCCAGATGTTCGTGATGCATCTGGGAAGGTGAGTATGGAGGCCATGCTTATTTGTAATTAAGCTGCACTTGGATTACATATACTTATTCTTATTTTACTTTATAATTTTAAACACGTGTGAGGATTTGGGATTAAATCCCACCTTCACCAAGAGAGATTACTTTCTGTTATGAAAGTTCTTTGTTACGGGCCAGCCTTTCTATTGACAGTTGTCTAGTGATATACATGAATGTTTATGGAACCAATTGTTTACATGGAGCGCATAATATGTTATGAAATGTATATTTATATGCCATCTTTTCCCCTCAAATTTTATGTTATCTTATTTTGTATGGCTGTCTATTATATGTTATTTTATTCTTGCACTTGATTATTATTAAATAATAGAAGTAGTTTTTGGCTTTGTATTCTTTTGTGCTCTCTTAGTTTTTGTATTCTCTTGATTGTGATGGTTTTTGTGCAGAAATTATATCTCTGATAGTTATGTGTTGATTGCTGTTTAAGCCAAAATTGTTATAGTAGGCTTCTTACCTCATATTCAATCAAATGTACTTTTATAGATTGCAGATATGAAAAGAAAATCTGAAGCACCCGCATCTGAAAAACAGTCCAAGGATTTAAATTGTGTCAGAGGGTATATTTTTCTCTTTTTCCTCCTTCGGTTTTATGTTTGTCAGTATCCACTACTTCTGTCACTGTCCTATTCTCTTTAAAAGATTACTGAAGTTTTTGTTTATCTTTTGCTTTAATCATTATTATGTTCTTGCATACTCAACTAATTTCAGAGCATACTTTAGGTAATGTGTTTGCTTTTTTTTCCATACAGTAATGGAAACATAGCTTCTGTTAAAGAAGTGGAACTACATCAGCGGCAAAAAGAGAGACATGACATTCAGAAAGAAGTCTGGTCTAATTTGTTTAGTTACCGCGAGTATGTTGAGAAGCCTCCTAAGAGGTATGTAAGGGGTGAGAATACGAGTTCAGCCTATGGAGTTGGACATGTGGTGTTTGAACCTCCCAAAGATTCAATGGAGGAATACAAGATCAACATGGACTTCAGGAGACGAAATAATGAAGATGGTACTTCCTAGCTATTGTCCTGGCTAACCTAATTCTCAATCTTGGAAATATTGATATTGATTGCTAGTCTATCTCTTGTGAGAGTATGGATTTTCTTCAAATTTTTAAAGTATCTTGTGATGCTTAAACTTGTTTGTGCTTCCTAAGGGTGAGAATTGAGCCTTGCAATTATTTAATTTTTATGCTTGCATTCACCGCGGCAGTATCAGAAGTTTTTTTTTTTTTTTTAATTAGAAGAATTCTTCAACACATTCTTAGAAGCAAAATCTGTTCACCATTCTTGGCACATAATATGGATATTTCTGTTTCTCTTCCTTTGAAATATAGTTTTATGTTTTATAAGCTTGAGTGTTGTGTGTGGCAGATGCTGAGGATGAAGCAGATTACCAATGCGTGCGAAAAGCTGTGAAGGAATATCGGGTGACAATGAAGGAATACTATAAAGCTGTATGTTGCATTACTTTTTCCAACTTATGTGGATTATACCTTTGTCCCACATTTGATTGTTAAATACAGTTAACCTGGTTTTGAACTTTGGTTTGGACACATATACTCATGGTTCACTTGTCACTTTAGGCTGTTGAAGCATTTGCGAAGGGAGAGCAAGTAAAAGCTGAAAAACTTCTTGAACAGGTAAGGTTTTAATTGAATTGTGCCTGACCATAATTTGCTTGATGATATGATAAACATATAATTTGTTGATGACATCTGAGTATCTGGTTCATTGCTACATCTGCTCTTTTGTTATGCACTTCTGTTAGTGCTGCTTTCTTTTGCCTTTTTATAGGCGTGCTCATCTTGCATTCAGTTCTTTCTTACCCGTGTCCAGTTTTAACATATAATTACCCGTGTTACTCAAATGTTGTCATTTCAATGGTGTATGCTATTATGTTCCCAGGGACAATTTTACAAGAATAAGGCACGTGAAGCTGATGAAGAATCTAGCAAAATGATTCTTCAAACTAGGTGATCTAGTTGTGCTTACTTTTCATTTTACTTTCTTTTTTCTTCTTTTCAAGGGGGTTAACCTGAAAATTTCGTATGATAGTTGACAATATTTCTTTGGCAGGGATTCAGAAACCCCAGAAATGACACTTGACTTGCATGAGCATGACCCAAAGGATGCTGTTAGGCTACTGAAGTGTCATCTTTCTTCTCTTTCTGGTTGTTCATGTAAGTTATGATATTGATCTGCTAATAAGTTTATAACTATTGATCCTTGTTAAATTTCCTCCTGTTAATTTTACATGGTTATTTCAACAATCATGTATCTCCATCAGCATTTGACCACCTCAAGGTTATCTTTGATGCAAATGACCAAGCTAACAAAAAAAGGTCTTGCAAACGACTGGTAAGATTGAGTATTTTTTTTAAGCTTAAAGTTACAGTTTATGTTTATTTTCAATGTATTGATGATATTTTTATTTAAAAAATCATGAAAAAATTACTGATGAATGGTCTTTGATTTTGGACAGGTATTAAAACTATTAGAGCAAGAGTCTATAAAGTGGGTCGAAGGAGAAATGGCTGGAACAATATTGATCCGCTTAGATAACATAGACCGGAAACAGCTGAGTTTTTTCAAAGCATAGCAATTTTGTTTTGAACCAAGTATGACAGCCTGATTACTTAATATTTAACAATGAGTGGCCGTTTAACAATGAGTGGACGACTAACTTCCATGATGTGCTAGCAGTTAACAGTTGGTCAATTTTGGAAATGAGGTTGGAGGAGTGAGTTGGTTGTTCAATCACATATAGTTTTCATGAGTATAAAGATCCAAATCAATGAGTATAGTTTTGTCTCTTGTTTGGCACATGTGATTCTGTAAACTTTGAACATTGATTGTCCGTGCTTGTGAAATGCAAATGTTGTTTTACTTGCATGTGCAGCATATGAAGCTTTGACTCTGTTGAGTTCATATGAATGATATTCTTCAAGATTATAGTTGCATGTTGAAAAATACTTTAGTTTGGTTGGAGTCAATCACGATAATAGTGTTGATCAAAATATGTTGTTGGGGGAGCTAACGGTTTAAGAACCCCAACATGTGGTGATTATGGGTTCATTCTCTAGGCATGACTATACTTCTAGATGGATGAAATATGTCAAACTTACCCGGCTGAATTATAAAATGGACTGTATATTCTATTGAGAGTCATGCGTCAATATCAATTGTTGGTACTCTATTTATTATCTATTTATATTTATGATATTTATTATCTCTAGAATGAGATGATAGCGCCTAAATATGTGTTTGGATTGTTGGTTAAATTTAAACTCCTGTTTGTGAAATGACATCATCTATTTATAATATATTAAAGAGTTTCAATATTTTCTAAGTGATACTTCATCTCTTCTTTTTCTCTGTCACATTAATTCTAATGTAGCACCTCTAAATTGTTTCTTGACACTATTTATTATTTTTTCTACTATTGAGAGTCAAAGTTCACAAGTTGATTCAGCTTTATTCTTTAATCAATTATTAATCAATCTATTTATTATATAATTGTAAGAGTTATTTCACTTGCATGTATTATCAAAACTGTTATATCATTCTAAAAAAGAATTCTATTTAGTTGTTTATAGAAAATCTACATTCTTCCATATTTGTTCACTATATCGTGAATCATAAACACAATTATATCTTTCTCCATTTAAATTAACTCTACCCAACTTATCCGTTATCTATTTTTTCTTCTATGAACTCAGACAATCATATTTCTATTCTTTTTCGAATTCCTCTTCTCTTAAATTCAAGGTTGATTTATTAGACAATTTAGATAGTTATTTGTTGGTTGCATTAGGTCGGGGAACTCATTAAAGGTCTTGTTGAAATGTAAAACCCACGTGATAGTCTTTCAGTCATTGTTAATTTTTCACTATTGAGGTATTTCTTTCCAATTTTTATACACGAGATTCATTTAGGATTTTTTTGTTGCCAAAATGTTGATGGTGACCCTCTGCAAAGAATTGATGTTGATAGTACTGATATGTGACGCCGAAACATTTACGAAGAGGGAGTGGGACAAAGATGGATGATAAAGGGGTCTATCACATTATAATAGACACTAACATCCTCTCATTTATGATTAGGTTTCATGATTGACCAAGATTTCTTTCAAACCCCTTTTACACAAGATTTATTTAGAAATTGTTTTTCTAATCAATGTTTTGTTTTGTTTTAACAGATGGTTAAAAAGACATTTTATCAAAAATTGAGTATAATCCCATAAGAGGTGATTATTTCGCTGGACCCTCAAGTGAAATTCTTGTCGTCTATAGAAGTGATCACTTTGCTGAACATTCATGTGAGATCCTTGTCGTCCATAAAGGTTAGATCCTCGTGTGGGATCCTTGTCGCTCATAGAGGCGATAATTTCCCCAGATCCACAAGTGGGATCCTTATCGCCCTTATAGCAATTTTTTTGCTGGATTCTCATGTGGAATCCTTGCCGCCCATAAAGGCGATTAATTCGCAGGATCCTCAAGTGAGGTCCTTTCCACCCATAAAGGGAATCATTTTGTTGGATCCTCATGTGGGATCCTTGCCGTCCATAAGAGGTGATCATTTTTCTGAGATCCTTGTTGCCCTTAAAGAATATCATGTTGCTGAACCCTCATGTGAGATCCTTTCTGCTCATAGAGGCGATCATTTTGTTGGACCCTCATGTAGGATCCTTTCCTCCCAACATTCATTTTGTTGGATCCTTATATGGGATCTTTGCCGCTCATAGAGACGATCATTTCACTAGATCCTCATATGAGACCCTTTTCGCCCATAAAGGTGATCATTCCACTGGATCCTCATGTGAGATCCTTTCCAGCCATAGAGGAGATCGTTTTGATGGATGTTTGTGGGGGATCCTTGTCGCCCATAGAGGCGATCATTTTACTGGATCCTTAATTGGGATCCTTGTCGTCTATTGAGGGAATCATTTTGTTGGATCCTCATGTGGGATCATTGTCGCCCATAAGATGTGATCACTTAATTGGATCCTCATGTGAGATCCTTGTCGCCCACAAAGGCGATCACTTCGCCAGGTCCTCAAGGGAAATCCTTGTCATCCAGAGAGATAACCACATGTTAGACTCCTGAAGCAGGATCCTTGTCGAATCCCATCGCAATAAATAAAATTATTACAAAGAAGGCAATAATGACAAAAGCCTTCAGTTAAACAGTAAATGGTTAACAACATAAAGGCAACCACATGAAGAGTAGTTAACATAGAAGACACCTTCGACTGTTGTTCATTACAATCATAAAAGCCCCCGAAGAGGAAAAAGGGCACAATGAAATTCCACAAAAGGGATAAATAAACATAAAGTGACTAAGGGTAGGGAAAAACATATCCTCATTCTTCCTCCAGGGACATCTCTTTCTCAACAGTGCTCTCTGGATGAGGGTCTTCAAACTCACCACTTTTCTTCACCTCTCCCCTGCTCAAAACATTCTTTGAGGGATGAGACTCTTCAGCTCTGGGGAGGACACTGCCTCCCTGTCTACCAAATCGCCACAAACAATTTTGATAAAATCTAGGAGGCTCATATCCAGATTAGGATAGAGGAAGATGACTTCCTCTTTGGCATGCTCGAAATAGATGCTTGAAGCAGACACCACCGCGTTTGTGAGCTCCGACACTTCCTTTTCTAAATCCTTCTGAAGAAAGAAAGCAACATTCAAGGATTCTTGTAGAGATTTCGTCTCAGAAGAGCTCTCTTTCACCTTGGCTTGAACATCTGTCATCTTCTTCTCCCATTTCTCCTTGTCTTTTCGAAGGGACTACAATAGTCTATGGATCTCATTATAAGTATATATTTGCTCCTGGAGATTCACCTCTAGCTTTTTCACAGCTTTGTCGCGTTTTTCTTGCTCTACATCCTATAACATAAGCGCCCTGAACAAAAATTATTCCTCATGTTCACAATTGTCGAGACCGGCTTAGAACGAAGGACTTGATAATCAACAAGGGATTCCTCGAAAAAGGGGAGGTGAGAGATTTTAAATCGAAGGGTGTCAAAGCCGACATCACTCCACAAAATCACAGAAGTAGAAGGAACCTCGCTCGTAGAGGGAAATTTGGTTCTCGCTTTATCGATAGCGAAAAGAGAATCCTCTTTCAGCCTATGAGCTTTCGTGTCAGGCGAGTCTGGAGCCGGTTCCTCAGTTGGCCTTTTCTGTCGTTTGGCGTTGAAAAGCTCAGGATGACTTCGGGGAATGTTAACATCTGAACTAACAGACTTAAGCTTCTCCCCCTTACCTACGCTCCTTGGTAGAGATCCTTTCTATTTGGCCTACAAAATAATACATAATCAAATGTTATCCAAAAGCCTACAAAAGGAAGGCAACAAATGACTTACCTATATAGGCGATAATATATTTACAGCCTCTTAACTAAAGCTTAATCACTTCGTGACAGTCAATAAGTTCAAACTTCCATAAAAGAGATAAATCCTTTTCTCCTCGAGGTTCGGGAATGTCGCTTCGTACCCTATGATTACCACTAGATCATCCATCCAGGACAAGGGAAAGAGGGGGTGCCATCAGCTCCCAACATCTCAAAGGAATCATCTTGCTCCCTTATAGGAAAAAAATTTTCCTTCCAATATTTGTAATGATTGGAGTGGGACGCTAAAAAAGGCTCTCCCCGACCGATTAATAAAAGACACCCAACTACCCTTTGACATTTTAGTGGTGAAGAAAGAGAAAAAGACTTTTGCGGTTGGTGTAATGACTAGGTCTTCATAGACTATCTTGAAAGCCTTGAAATAACCCAACTATTATGGAACATTTGAGAAGGAGAGACATTAAGAACTCTTAAGATCTCCGCAAAAAAAAGGTGTAAAAGGGAAAATAACTCCCATATCTTTGATGAAAGGGAGGTAGAAGTAGAAATATGAAGAAGGGGGTTCGAAGAAGATAGGCCTGGTCACCCTCTCCAATGGCGAGCAAATCTCCAAAATGACCTAGTCTTCATTCCCTGAAGAAGAAGCTTCTGCTCCCGATCAAAAAATGAGGATTTGTTCTCTAGAGGTGTAACTAGATCCAAAATGGCCATCCTTGGACACGACAAATGAGGTAGACATTATCCTTTTTGTTCTTGAGAAAATAGTAGAACAAAAAGAAATAACCACCACTGTCGTAATCGTCAAAAAATGGGCCACTAACCTAAAGCCCTATATTTAGCCTATAAAACCCCATCTCAAACATTTCTTCGTAAAACCCATTCACTACATTAATTAAATAAATATGGGAGATTCATACCTGGAAGAAGGTTCGGAAGGAAGAGATGAATGAGGTGAATATTCCAAGCAAGTTTGCAAGAATAGAGAACGAAATGGAACAAAGTGTAAAGAGAGAAATATTTTATAGTAGAAGTCGTAGATGTCCCTATGAATGAATAAACTCAGCATGTTTCTGACACATCCCACTAACATTTAGGGTCTCGAAAAATAGGACATCATTGCTCAAATTAAATGAAAGTAAGCACCATCCGTTGGATGATTGTTTGACATTTTTAGTTAACCAGGAGACATCTGGAAATTAACACATCCTTCGGGGGCTCGAGTAAGTAGTCACCTCCAGCTTAGG